AGAAATATTCCATACTGGACCTTTAACATTGATCATATTTTTGATATTTCTAAGACGGTAAAAACACGATTGCACAAGCTTTGTGGTGTGCTGCTCAAAACTTAAATTACTGTCAAACCAGATGCCAAGATTTTTTGCAATTTTTTGGTTTGATATGATCCACTAGGCAACGTGCAGATGGCAGTATTTGGTTACATCTGTAGCAGATGCCCACCTCTATCAAGTCTCACAAAAATGTAACATTGTGAGCTTCATAAAAGTGGCATATATGAGTACTGTATTATATTCCATTATATTGTATTATATGAGCAATTAAATCAACAAGACTGAAGTCATTGTATTTGGCATCAATAAGGAAAGGCCAAAGGTTACATCTAATGGCCAAATCCTTGTAATCTGTTGGACTTAGATCTTCACTTATGAAGTGAAGATCTAAGTCAGCTTGTAGAACCTGGACTTAAAACCCAACAGTGAAGCTGTGTTCAGCTGTGATGCTGCACATAACTTCCAGATGATCTAAAATGTTACTTCACTGTAGCCAAATCTTAATTACAAACTTTCAACCTCTGATTAAGTTTCTGTACTTTCCCTTATTAATCTTAGCGCTACATATTACTGCACTGTATCTGCTCTGAAACTGCATTCCTTGTTCACTCTATTTTATTAACTTTTTTGTTTGATTCAGCTTTACTTTAGTTTCCTCTTCATTATTTTAAATGTAGTTGGAATGCATTTGTTTGTCTTATGTAAAGCACTTTATTAGGCAGGGTCAGGAGAAAATGAGCACATTAGATTTTGAATGCACTCTAACTTAAACCTAAAGGAGGATTATTCCTGTGTTTTTCAGTCTCATTGACATTAGTCTCATAATGGCACACAGATAACAGACAACGTGAAAGAACCATTCCTCTTAGCACTGAAGTTGTTTGTGTGGAAACCTGCAGGTCCCACTCCTGTGGTCCCCCCTGGCCCTCTGGCTCAGAGATCTATGAAAGAGTCTTGGGCCCAGTGGTCCCTGAGCAGGGGAGTGCAGTCCATCCCAGAATCCATCACTGAGTACCTTCAACAGAGCAAGAGAGTGCAGCTTCACCAAGAGGCCGCTGTTAAACAGATCAGTCCTTCAGCCTCTGGTTGGAAGGTTAGTGAACATGACTGTGAGCGTGGTGTGTTCCCTGTCTGCAGAACAAGGTTATACTCTAAATTTTAATAACTCAACTTTAGTGTTTGTGCACCATGTTTAGCCATGCTAGCATTGGTCGTTTGGCCTGCCACTTTCCAGACTGAAATATCAATACCACTATTTATTTGATTGCCATGAAACTGTTCCAAGATTCATGAGTCCCAAAGGATGCTCTGAGGACATCTTTGATTCCCTGGCTTGTCACCTAGTGCCATTAGTGAAATATCTAAACTATGGAATGGATTGCCATGAACTTTTCTACAGACATTTGTGGTCCACAGACTATGAATCTTAAGGTGTGTTCCAGATGACTGTGGCTGACTCAATTTTTTAGCCAGCATGCCTTTCCACTAGCACCACCAGCAGGTCAAACTTTTCACTTACCCAGTGTGACAAGGTAGTACTGGGGAAAGGATTTGTTAGGTCTAGAGGAATGAACCTCAAGCCTGAGGGCCTGAGTCAGTGTTTTCTTCCAGCTATCACTCTCTCCTCCTCTCTTTGGCGTTAGCCCTCTGACAGGTTCATATTAGATAAGACCTGCCTTTTTAAATGTCTGTTATCTGTTCGATCGATTGGTTGCAATGTGATATACCATATACCTGCTATAGCATGTCTTAGCGGAGCTTCCAGCCTGAAAAAATACCATGCTTGTGTTATTTGGCTGCTTTCGTAATTCATGTGTGTCTGCAGATCCATTTGGAGGATGGTGTCATATCGGCTGACCACATCATCTCTGCATTGCCTGCTAAAGGCAAGTGGTGGCTAACACAATATGACTGTAGGAATGTTTTGTCTTACATGACAGAAACAGAAAGAATCCATTCAGATCAGTCATGGACTTCAGCTCTCCTAATTTCATCTGATAAGCAGCAGGAACTGCAACGTGCCTATTAAGTATAATTTGACTTTAGAAAATTAAAAGGGTTAACTCAGTATGTAGTTATAAAATAATAAATAAAACTGTTTTGTGTACACAGGTTTCTGAAATACCAAACTTCTTTAAAGTCATTGTAACACAATAGATTAGTTATTTCTTCCACCTCTCTGTGCCCCCCCTCCAGCCCTCTCCTCAGCCCTGCCTTCCTCCTGTCAACCTCTCATCCAGCAGCTGCAGGACATCTCCACAGTAACAGTCGCTGTGGTTAATCTGGAGTATGAGGGTGACATCCTGCCTGTAATGGTGAGGATTACAGCAGGACATGCACAACTTTCTTTATAAATTCCAAATGCTTTGCAGGGGCCATTAGATGGCTGGAAGTGAAAGTGGTAGATGTATTTGAAAACAAACAACAAATTAGCAATTTTCTTTGTTCACATACTGATTAGAAAATGACTGAAGATTATAAATTTGTGCATTTCCTGATTAACAAGCTCATTCTTGTGTGTAAAAATGTGCTAATCAAAACATGGCATAAACAATCCCTGTGAAGTAGCACCAAGCACATTCTGATGACCCAGTGCCCCCTCCTCAGGTGCCAACATCAAGGCAAACAATTCTACATAATTCTGTGGATCTGATAATAAATCACAATATTTTCAGCATCAGTTGCTTTACTTTCCCAGTAAAGTGACAAAACTAATACACCATCCCTGTGCGTTGTCAGGGTTTTGGTCACTTGCTTCCATCATCAGAGGATCGGGGTATACTAGGGGTGGTCTATGACTCTGTTCCCTTCCCTCAACACAACAGACCGAATGGACAGACTACTAGACTGACGGTACACACACACACACACACAGCAAAAAAAATAAAAATACATCCTCTCACTTACAACTGCTTTTATCTTACTATGTGTATGAACATAAAAAGATTTAACAACTAAGACATAAACTGAACAAAGTTTCACAGACATGTGAAACAGAAATGGAAAAATGTGTCCCTGAACAAAGGGGAGTTCAAAATCAAAATTACTGACCTTATTTGCGTACCGTCTGTATGATAGTATCTCAACGAGCCTTCCCCAGGTGCATGCTCATTGATTGTTTATGGTTGTTGTTTACAGCCTTTACAATAAAGATATTATTTTGATGTTTAGAGAATTATCTTTAAAATACTGTGTCCTGAAAAGTGTGTGCGTGTTTTGGGGGGGGGGGTGTCTCTGCAGACATTACCCCCACCATATAGTCAATCGTAGAGGTCCTAGGTGCCGATGGTCTGATGGACATTAGGGAGGGTGGCATATCCTGCTGCCCTCCCCAATGTTGATGTCATTGATCCAGGGGCTACATAGCTCGTGAAGTCACAGCCTGCTCTTCAATAGACGTCTAAATAATCTGTGTAACGTGATCGCTGAGCGGTCATGCAGAGATGAGGGGTTGGGTTAGCATACAGTGAAACAAATTGATGCGGGAACCAGAAAACCCCAAACAATGAGCTAAAAGAGGATGACATGATTACATTGTTCATACACAGAAGTACCGCTGCTTGGGCAGGCATGCAGTGCTTTACAGGGAAGAACCCTGTTTTTCTCCCGTCACAAAGTGAGTGAAGTGGGTCTGCACTTCTGACCTAAGGTCATCACTGTCTTCTAGGTGATGATGGGTGGGGCCTGGTTCCAGGAAGTGTTTGGGTCCCCAGAAGCAGTAACAAAGGAGTGTCTTTTAGCAAGAGCCACTGAGGCTGTGCACAGCCACCTGGGAGTCACCACAGCACCCAGCTGGAGTTGGGTGGCTCTACAGAGGGTATGGCAGGACTGTGTCTGCGTAAATAAATGTTAACTCAAATTGTTAATTCATGTCAAATTAAAATGAACTTCATATATTTGTCATACTGTCAGCTACATTGTTGGTATGTTGCATTAGTGACAGCCTTGTTTCCTCTGTCAGGACTGTATACCTCAGTATTATCAGGGACACTTCCGGAGAGTAGGTAAGTTTTGACTTCTACATTACATCGAACAATTACGCATTTACAAAGTGAAACATCACTTTATGTTGCGTCTGTCTGCCTTTCCAGAGTCCATGCGTAGCTTTATAAAGAAGAATCACCTCTCGCTATCTCTGATTGGTTCCTCCTACGATGGCGTGTCAGTGAACGACGTTATCTTTAGTGGACGGACAGCTGTGGAGGAGTTGCTGGGACCTGCAGTTTGATGGAGCTGGTCAACACTGGAACATTACACCAAGTGGATCAGTTGTTGCTATATCTGTGTGTGTGGACAAGACAGTCTTAGCTTATTGTACGAGCTTGTGGGGAACAGTGCAGTCACTAACATAACTCTGCAGAGGTCAGCTGTAGTGCTTTGAACAGCTTAACTGGAAATGTGAAGACTGGTCAATATGAATAAATGGTGAAGTCCTTTTTTCTTCAGCTGTAACGCTGTATATAATGAATGAGTATGTAAATAGTATGATCAGTTGTGTTAATGTGTGCAGTGTCGGAATGCGTCATGGCCAAGCTGCTCCTGTTGTGCACCAGTTTCTCACCATCATGTGCAGCCTCATGTTCCAGAGTTATTTTTTGTATTTCAAGGTAACCTACTTGGCCCTCTTTACTTGTGAAATACTGGATACTTAAACATCTACCAGCATGAAAATATCTTTCAAATAACAATCTCAGAAGGAACAGGCCTCATGTCCAACCTGTAAGGGGTCACAAGCCAAAATATAAATAAAAAAGACTTAACGCTGAGGAAACCCTGAGGAAGACACTACAGCTGAAGCAACAGTGTCCCAGATCCAATAAGGACTGATTGGAATCAGAATCAGTACTGATACAGTGAGGAGCAGTACTGCAGTGTGACAACCATATTCAGGTCAATGCATCCAGTAAAATTAAACAGTGTCCATGTGAACGACTTAGAAATTGTTTTATTTGAGGAAGAAAAAAAAAAAAAAAAAAACATCTGTCAGTGCAACTCCTGATTGGACAGATCATGCTCTTACTACTGTTATCTGTCCACTTGCATAAACTATCTGAGGCCCAGCTTCTTCTTCTCTTTGTGTTTTTTGCGAACCACCTCGATGTTGCGGTCCTTCCACATGCTCTTCCTCAGTTTGATGGGGCGGCTGCCTACATATTTACCTGGACAAACAAAGAGTGACATAAATATTGCTTGTAATAAGTCCTTTTAAAATCATTATCACACCACATCAAATAGGGCTTCTACAAATAGTAACAGCTGAATAAACATTCTGCAAGACTAAGCTTTCTGTAAATGAAAAAAATACAGCCTTTTCCAGGTGTTCCTATGACCCATTTAGCTGGAACAGACTGTAGCGTTTTCCCAGCTGAGAAAATATTAGCTGGAAAGCAAAGGGAAATATTTGAAACGTGTTTGATAGATATCTTAATATGGCTTGTTGATGAATCAGCTACAAGTCAAAAACGTAAACAGGGAGTGGAGAAGCAGGTATGTGCGACAGACCTGATGTGCATCAAGTCAAACTCATCAATTCTCTCGAGCTGTCACAAAGTTAAAGATGGGTGATGTTACTGGGGGTATCAACTATTTTTTCATGGTACCAGCCTGAAAAATGTAGAGATGGGGTGCTGCGTTTGTACAGGGCCTTATATTCTGTGCTGTACCTACACAGATGCAGCACTTACTAACCAGTGTCAAAGCTAAATTTACACCCTGGCAAAGAAAAACAAATGCAAGGACAAAACATGGATGGAAGAATCAGTTCAAGTTGGACATCAACCTGTTTAGTTTCTACGTCAAGGACATCTCTGTGTAAAATGCAACAAATGTTGAAAAAGCAGGTAGGTAAAAGAGGCTTAGCGTGTCTGTCAGGAGACTGACCGTTCATCTCTCTCATGGCTCTGACGTAGTCGTTTGGGTCCTTGAAGCTGACGAAGCCATAGCCTTTGGTTTTTCCAGTACGTTTGTCTCTCACCACCTGATGACAGAAATGATAGTGGTCATTTCCTTTGTTCAGCACACAGACGCACACAAGCAGAGGTGGAAAGAGTACAAAAATATTCTACTTACGTAAAAGTCCGATTACTTTGATGAACTTTTACTTTCGGTACAAGTAAAGTTACTGTTATAAAAATCTACTCAAGCAAAAGCAACTCATTTAAAATTTACTTAAAAGTTAGTTACTTTTTGGACCTCCTTAAATAATTTATTTATATTGATTTAATATTATTTATACTTGTTAATTAAATTGCACTCTTGCGATTTGATAAGGGAACAAAGCCATATGGCGCTTTGAATTTTAGTTTGACAGAAACTTGGGCAAATCAATGGTAAAAAATGAGATTTTCTGTTATGAGAATGTTTCGCTTCATTAGGAAACTGGCGGAACAGATTAGACTCTGGCGGGCTGCACTGGACTGGGAAAACAGGAAACACTGGACTGTATATGAAGTCATATCCTATTTACATTCAAACAGGTGGTTATTTTAATGGGATGCCAACCAGCACTGTCATTTGGCTATTTGGAGCAAAGCATCTTACCAAACTATGAAAACATTATTGCCCGTTATTGTGCATGAGACACCTGTAACATTAGTTAGGCTACTGGTGGTAACGGATACCTTTTAATACCACAGGGCACAGAAGTCTGGGTAGCTAAACAAACTACTGTCAGGCAGTTATAGTTATTTTCCATAATTATGTACTTTATGCTGCACACTACATGAGTCTGTCGCCTGCAGCTCTTTATCTAACAGCTCACTGTGTCTGCTGCTCCTGACTGTTGCATTACTCACTGCAATATGTCAAACTGGTCCGCTGTCTAAGAAACTGTTGAAAATGATGATTGTCTTGTTGTGTAGCCTTATTGTAGCGGTCTGCATTACAGCGGTCAGCGCTGATCTCACTTACAAAAAGATTGCATTTCCTGTGACTACTTCAAAATAATGGTCAACTTGTGTTCTGCCAGATAAATGCTTTTAATGTGAAGCTGCAGCAGCAGGAAGTGTTCAGTTTGCATTAGCAGTAACTTAATAGAGCATTTTTTCACAGTTAACACTGCATGATAAAGCTGTTCTGTTGCTCTTGAAGCGGTTTCAAGTTTTTCCTTGCACTTTTTTTTACCCAGTAAGGGATGTGATTGAAAATGCAGCGAAGTACAATACTTTAAACAAAACATACTTAACTAAAAGTAAAATTACACGTTTAAAAAACTACTTCAAAAAGTACAAGTTGTCAAATAGATTGAGATCCCAGTGCTCAAAGTACACAAAAAAGCTACTCAATTACAGTAAGGTGAGTAATTGTAATTTGTTACTTGCCACCTCTGCACACAAGCATGCACCAGGGCTGGAAATGAATATTCGCCAAGTGCCTACTGCGGGTAGATTTTCCATTTGGCGGCTAAATGTTGGAAGGCTACCTGCCACATTGGTGGGTAAACGTATTCATGATACGGCCATATAATATATACGATAACTAAAAGCAGACTGGCGTACCCGTTTGTTTTGTGTCGCACTTAAATTTGTCTATGCTGTACCCAGGGATCTAAAATTGTGTAACACACGGATTAGTGAAGTATGTTCGTTTCATGTTACTTAAGTTTGATTTGCGTAGATTTATGAATATAAGAGGTTTAATATACATCCCTTTCAGTTTTCACGACAAAGTTACAGAGGAGGGTTGTTGCCTTTGATGTCTTTGGCTGTACATTCTTAAATGTAAGCAGAAAGAGTGTATTTATATTTGGAACTCCTTTATGTCGTTGAAACATGTATTTACAACTTAATTTTAATATAAATTATATTATTGAATTTATTTTTATTAAATGATGCATTTATTACATTTGTATTTTTATCATTTACCTATGTATTTGATTCTATCTAAAATATTCCAGATGTGTGGAACTGGGTTGAGATGTGGTGACTGTAAAAGGCTGCAGCATTTTATTCACATCATGCTCAAACTGTTCAGGGAGCCTTGCTGCACGGAGATATTTGTAATTGACGTTTCTCCACTCTTTTCTTGAGGTTTTCAGGTCCGTAGATGTTGTATTTGGCATAATTCATGTGACTGATAGTAAAATGTTCTAGGAACTGATGACAAAAACCATAGAGAGCTAGGTTGTACACTTTTCTTCAGTATCTTAGTGATCACCCAAGGTAAACAAGGCAAATAAACAGAAAAATAACCCAACCTTAGCTTTGAGGAAAGACGGGTATCTACTGAAGGCTCTGGCCAGAATGTCATCGTTGACCTCATTACCAAGATCACCGCAGAATATACGGAAATCATCTGCAACAAGGAGAAGAAACAGGATTGACACAAACACAAGAAGAACACAGACAGACCACATTACCTTTATCCTGCAGCAGGTACTCAGTGCTGATAAATGAGTGAGTGATTACAAATAACATTTTGACCACAGGCCCAGTAAGAAACCGTCAGAACAGCAGAGGTCAGCGTTTAATGTTACCTTTGCTAGGGGACAAATGTCATTATTTGTAATTCTTGTTTAAGCAGCATTTCCTAATTTATATTACATAATATTTATCTATATCATAAAGTCTCTGGCTGTTTTAGCTGAAGACTTTGTCCTCCGGTCCCTGCAGCTGTTTGTACCTGGATCCCACTCCAACAGACTGGGGTCCTCCCAGCTGGTCCCTGCTGCAGTGCGGATACATTTCTTCACCTTCTCCGCCTTTGCTTTCTTTTTGTCCTCTGCAGGACTCTCCACAGGCTGAAACAAACACACACAGGCACCTATGTCACATCATGTCCTTGATATATGTTGTTTAAGGTTGAACATATCGCAATATTTTTAGTTTGCTGATAGGAAAGAGTGTGTGTTCTCAGAATAAGTTTTGCCTTCCCTCGCAATAACTTATGTTTTTTTCCCCCCTCATCTCTACAAGGAGACACCAAGTGGTCGTTCCGTATACTTGTGGTAGTACCTCACACTTTATAAATAGAGGCTTGGATAAAGACTTCTTGCACCTTTACCTTGATTGAGTGTTTGTAGGTGTTGGCGTCTTTGTGGTATTCTGCTTTTTGGCTTTTTCCCTCTCCTTTATATAGTTATCTCTCTTTTTTGTGCATGTAACAGGTTTGCAAAGTGAAAAAGCCAAAAGTCCAGCCCAAAGGGAGTTCCCATCTCCCACAGAAAGCACTGCTCTGAACTGACTGAAAACAGCTCGTTTGTAGTCCAGCCGTTACTTCCCTTTCTTGTGAAGTCACAATGAAAATATGTGCCATAACGCTCGCCAAGCGGCTACTACGACACTCCAACACACATGTTGCCAAGCTGGTCGGCAACATGTGCAGCTGAAAGGAAGCCGTGTTTACCGTCTTCTCACGACCCGCCCTTCTCTGCTTCTGATTGGCTAGTAGTCCTTAACTAGGAACTGCGCATGTGCAACTCCCAACAAAGATCATTTAGACACAAGATGCATCACTCCATAGCTAAAACGAAGCCTTCAACACAGGGTGAAAAGAGGAGCTGCAGCAATGTGCAGTATGACACAAATATGGTGTTTTTTGAAAATTAAACCATGTAAACCTGTTCTGGTACAACCACTAAATAGGATTTTGAACCTGGAAATGAGCAGAATACCACCTCTTTAAATGTAAGTAGCAGTTCATTTCTATTGATTGGGATTATGGTGTGCGTAAGAATTGATAAAAATTAAATGGATCTATGGTCTAATTTGTTAAATAATATTATGATGAAGTACAAAGACTAAGGTCTAAACCTGCTATATAAGAAAAGTGCAAAGAAATAACTTCTGTTATGAATTGGTGCTTTATAAATGAAATTGACTATGCTTTTGGTTAATTATTTGACATATTCATGGTACCTTAATGTGCAAATACTTCACATGATTTAAAGGCTAGATTTATGATTTGTTTAGGCAAGATGTGATTTGTATCTTACTTTGTTAAGAAACACAGCAATCATTCACATCATTGCCACCCATGTTTTTTTGGGTGGTTTGTGACTCCAGTAAAAATGACTAATAACTAAAATTTATAACACTCGCATTAAACTTAATTTCTTTGGAAAAATCGCCATGTAATATGTAATGATGTTATCTCATTCGCTAACCTGCTGCTCTTTAAATTCTTTGAACAAGTCTGCATGTCTATGGTGAAATGCTTTGCTAAGTTGGACATGTTGCCTCCCTTGGTCTCCGTGGGTTTGAGTGGGTATCAGGTTTCCTGATGATTTCTGCTTTACAGAAGTTCAAACGTTTCAATCCTTTGTCTATCACAGAATAACTGATAAGGGTAAACACCTTAAATAAACTGTGGATTTTTCTGGGAAATTCCAATTTCCAGCTATGCATTTTAAGTTATTTATAATGTAGCCTATGGCAAAATATTTTCCTTTTCCTATTTCAATGTGACAGTTGACCATTTCACAAAGCCAGGTCCATAAAAAAATAAAATAAAATAGCTTTCCCAGTTTGGTGTGGTTGACTGACCTGCACCGAACTAATGGTTCGAATTATGGGGGCAATGGGAGGGGTCTGACTCTCTAATTAAGACTTGGACCCCATTAAAAAGAGGCAAAAACAGTTCACGGGGATCTTTCTTACTTTTAATTGTAAATATTACAATACATTTCCCATCTTCATGCCTCAAGAATCTTGAAATACGATTTCAGACTAGGGCTGTGACGATAATCACATTACCACAAAACCACAGTAATGTGATGACTACAGCGGTGACCCATCACAGATTCATAAGAGAGCCAAAATTCATGCATGTTTTTTCTTACAAAGAATTATGTGCTCCAGTGATTCCATTATAGCAAAATAAAGAGTTGTAGGAATTATTGGAAAGTATATGTAAACTTTTGACCACAACTGTGTGTCTGAATACTTTTGGCAATATAGTGCACTTTGCATCCATACTGAATTCTTCCTGAAGCCTAAGTATAAAGGAAATCATGAGAGCTTCAAAATTAACAATAGAAAGCAAACTGCTGCTTTTTAATGTACCTCAGTGTGGGGGGGCTCAGGCTCAGGCATGCTTGGTCCAATGACGTTGTTTTCTTCTCTCTCCTTCTTGTCCAGTAGACCTGCTGCCTTCACTGCTGCCTGCTGCTCTGCAACCCGTGCTGCCAGTTCTTCCTGAAAGATCCATATCAGACACACTCAGACTGGCTCATGAACATGCAATCTGATGGTACAACAGCAGCATACCTTCATATGTGCCCCACCCCGTTTCAGATTTAGCAATACTCACTGCCCCCAACTTCCCCATTACTAAAACATACTAGAGTTATCATAAAAGTATTTTACCTTTATTCATCTAACATTTTTACCTCTTAAGTACATTATTTTAAAAATACACAAACGCATAAAAAGGACCCCTGTCTATTCATGTAGTTATCCTGTCACTAGTGTTCAAACACACGTGTCCAGGCAACACAAGCAAAATATAAACAAGAGACAGACAAACACACAAAACGCTCTCAGAAAACAACACCTGCAGCAGAACAAATAAACATTTTGAAAATATCAATTAAAAGGCAAATACCATTCTGGCTTGTCGCTGAGCTCTAATATCATTTCTTTTATGTCCAACGTGGGCCGGAGGTGCAGAGTACACGGTAGGTGCTGCCTGGATGATTGACGGTGTCGGTTTGACGGGAGGCAGGGCTCCCTGTCTTGTCGTTGGTGCTGACACCATTGAAACCATATCACTGACCTGAGTGAGCCAAACCAACAAACATAAGGCAGGTCACAAGATAACTATTGTGTGAAAAATTACAATGGTTATGACACGAGAAATTAGGTTTCCCCCTGTATTATTTCTGTTTACAGAAACATTAACTGCTAGCAAAATCACAGCAAGACGTAAAGCAATATGTGCACACAGACCGACATGCTTCAATGAGGTCTGACCTGAGGTGCAGCAGCCATGTTCTGAATGGGCTGAGAAGCACCCTGAGGTGTCTGGCCCTGCAGGGGAGGAGGGAGCATCATGGGAGGAGGTGGAGGAGGCCGGGGAAGAGGAGGTGCTATCGGAGGACCACGCATCATCTGAAGCCTCTGACCACCTATCAACACAGCGATAGGATAATAACATATATGACCTCCATTTTGTGAGCAAAGGCAGAGACTAGCAGGTATGCTGGAAATTCAAAGTCTAAATTCAGTCATATCACAAACACAAAAAGTGAGAAAGCCAGTCTCAGAATAGTATCATTTCATGTAGGGCTCGGGACCAACTATAGATTTATTGATCATAAATAGGTTATAATGCCACAAAATCTTGGACATGGAATAAAAAACGTTTTTTAACTAAATATACCATATAAATACATTAAAAATATATAGTATATACCGAAATCTCCCATCAAGTCTCTGCACGCAGTAGCAGAAACTAACAAGCAAAACACAGCTCCTAATTCTGCGTTAACACACAACAAGGAACAAAACAAGTAAAGGCTCAGACACATCAATAAACAAGACGCAGCGGTCTTTATGTCCCACAGAAAATCCCACAAATGAAGCTTCAGGTTACAATATCGCTAAGGGTGCAGCAGTTCACAAAATCCATGGTTCGGTAAGTTTTCGATACAGTAAAAAGAAAGAAATGTACATGATTTTTTACATTTTTATTTATTAAATCTACCTTCATAAAAGGATGATATTTTTTGACTTGGAACAATGATGGAGCTATAACTGACCCGTCTTCTGGGGTGTCTTCTCAGCAGCATATAAAAACAAAACAGCGCCTTATAAAAACTAATCTGCCGTTCAGCGGTATGTGCCGCTACAGTCAGGTAGCTTTGACCTCCAGTCATCTGTGGTCAGAGCAACAGCGGGGACTTTGGATCACTGCTTCTCTATTTGGGCTTTTATTTTTTTGTACAAAGCAGAAATTGCGGTCTTGATGTATTCCCCCTTATGTAACCTATTCTGGTGTGTGTGTGTATATATATATATATATATATAATAATAATCAAATTATTTGAAAGTGCATATTTTTTTGCTAGAAACCATAAAATGTACTTGGGGTAGGACACCTAAACCCCCCCCCACCACCAGCACCAAATGGATGCACCTCAGATTTACACAAACCTAGGGAAAACACTGAAACATGTTAAGCTATCTAATGCGCATTGCATGCTCATAGACACACAGCACTGCTTCTGGAAGAATTTCAGAGACATGTTGTATTTGGGTTCTATATTCAGATATAGAGTAGGGCACAAACATTTTTTGCTTCACCTGCGCAGCTACAAATCCATCCTAGGTGAATCACTGAACTGCATGTTAACCTAACAATAACATTTCTGCTGATACTATTTTAAAGAGGAGACACTGCTAATAAGTGAATATACCAGTAAACTAGCACTCTAGTAGTATGTAGGGTAGATTTATTTCTCACAATATAACAGGTTATATAGTGAAAACAAGTTTGTAACACCCTTCTGCTACGCAGCAGAAAATATACAAATAATACAGATGCAATTATAAAAATGGTAAAGAGAAATAAATTATATTCAATGGAGCAATGCTGAGGATGAATTTTAACTTAAGAGTCTGATAGCTTGGGGGAAAAGGCTTCTCTGCAGTCTAGTAGTAGCACTCTAGTAGTAGTCTTACCGGGTCTCTGCAGGATATGTGGGACAAAGGCTGGTCTCAACATGGGAGGACGTACTGGAGGGACTGGGACAGACACAAGTCACACAGTGAGCGTAAATAAAACATCTTCAACCATCCCCTCATTGAAAAAAGACAACAGTCTTTTAAAAAGTTTAAATCCTTAATGTGTGAACACGGGTGCATCTCAGAATATTACTATATTGTAGAAAAGTTAATTTTTTTTCTGTAATTTTATTCAAAAAGTGAAACTTTCATGTATCTTACATTCATTACAATCGAGTGAAATATTTCCTTTTTGTTTGAATCTTGATGATTACGGCTTACAGCTCATGGAAATCAGAAATCCATATCTAAAAATATTAGAATAAATAATGTATCAAACAGAAATGTCAACCTGGGAAGAGCCTTTAATCTCCAAGTCTGGTTCAGTACACACAACCACAGGGGAAGACGTCTGACTTGACAGTTGTCCAGAAGACACTCACTGACACCCTCCACACGAAGGGTAACTCACAGAAGGTCACTGCTGAAAGGGCTCTCTGTTCGCAGAGTGCTGTATCAAAATATATATGTATGGAAAGTTGACTGGAAGATTTAAGTGTGGTAGGAAAAGAGTACTGTCAAGCAAAGCCAATTCAAGAACTTGGGGGAGCTTCACAACGAGTGGACCGAGGTCCACCAGGAGATTTTAGACCACTTCATGCTTCCATGGAGATGCTGATTTCCTTTTCCAGCAGGACTTGGCACCTGCCCACAGTACCAAAACCACTAGGAACTGGTTTGCAGACCACGGTGTTACTGTGATTGAATCTATCGAGAGTGTTTCCCATACATGGATTTATTTGTGGCAGCCCACCAAAATATTAATGCTGACCGTCACATATTGATTTTTTTTTACCATTTTAAATGGGTAAAATCATATTTGACTGCAGTGCTGCACACAGCACATATATTCGCCCCTGCACAGGCACGCCACAGTTACATTGCCATTCTGTGGGAAACACTGATGGGGTATTGCCAAGAGTATGATGAGAGAAACGAGACCCAACAATACAGACGAGCTGAAGGCCGCTAACTGGGCTTTATAAGACCTCAGCAGCCACAGGCTGATAGCCTCCATGCCACACCACTATGATGCAGTAATTCATGTAAAAAGGAACCCCGAACAAGTACTGAGTGCATAAATGAACCCTTTTCAGAACTTTTTCACTTTTCTGCAACATTTCTGTATTGTAAATTATTTATTCTAATATTTTGAGTTCTGGATTTTTGATTTACATGAGCTGTAAGTCTTAATTATCAAGATTAAAACAAAACAAAGGCCTAAAATATTTCACTTCATGTGAATTGAATCTAGAATACGCTAAAGTTTCACTTTTTGAATTATTTCACAGAAATAACTTTTCCACAATGTGCTAATCTTATGAGATACACCTGTATATGGGTACATATTGCACAACTTTACAAAATAACAAATAAAAACTATTAGATAAACTAGATATAAGCTTGCTACACTATAAACTACATATAAGAAAAACTTTTGTACAACAGTTTGTTTCCAGCTTTGTTGATATTACTGTGAGCCATGAACCTGCTGTGTGCCGAAACATGAGATTACAGTATCATTACACTCATGACTTTAAATGACTGAATGATGACCAACAGAGTATTTACTACATAGTATATTATTGCCAAACCCTAGTGAGTGCATGCATGTCAAAGTTTATGTTCACCTGGTCCCACAAAGGCTGGTGGTGGAGAACCAACAAAACTAGCAGCTCTGGCTTCTAATGTCTGTTGGACCTACGAAACAGGAAGACGGAGTGGAAGAAAGAGAGATGGCACAAAGAGAGAGAGAAGACAGGGTGAATGGTGTGCACAAAGCCATTTCCTCTGTCAGTAGCAGTATCTGCCTTTAGGACACACAGCTGTTTGGAGTACATTAATATCCATATACTACAACAATAGTACAAACCTGTCTGTAGGTGTTGGTGCCTATAATGGGTCGCACTACTGGAACTGCCGGGACAGAAAGAGCTACAGGTACTGCCTCCATTATAGGTGGGCTTCCTGACACTGGTACTGGACCACCAAGGACCTCCTGCTCAAAACTACAAGAAGACAGATACAGAGACAGACTGACTGGACTGTTTTACCAAAGCTAGAGCCAACATATTTTTAAATGAATACATTTAATAGGGTTGGACGATGATATCGGGTAGGGTGGGGGGGTCAGGGTGTGTCTTATAAAGTCACGTGTTTCACACAGACTACACTCGGTAAAAAACTTGGCATTACGTTACAAGTCGCAGACGTATTCCAACAACCATAAAAAGAAAAAACATACACCGTTTTCACACACAGGTAACTCGCTTCCTGCTCCTTGCCTCAAAAGTTCAGTTATTTTGAACTTTAATGACACAATGTTGTACTATTGTTTACCAGGCGCTGCTCCTGTCCTCTCTGTGCAGTTGTTTTGGCGAGGGCGGAGCTTAGCGGTTCCTCCGCACACACAGAGACACACACAGATTGATTTAATTTGTAATATTTTCTAATTGAATTGTTGAAATTTAAGTAATCCACCGCATGATTACATACTCTTTCTGATGACAAAATGTGCTTAAATTGTGAAACCCAGAATTCTGAAAAATGGAAACAGAAAAAAAAAAACCTAGGGGAAACACTGTAATGCTTCAAAGACAAGCAAATATTCACAAACTATCCTAACTGGTGTTAACAGAGCAGGAGGTGCTGCAGCTCTTACTGCAGAAGCTAGAGGGGAGATGGTGTTGATGATGTTTGGTGTCTCAGTAGAACACTGCGATAACGCAGCAACAACCTGACATGTTTGCTGAGGACATTTAATATGATTTATTAGAAATATTTCCCATAATTTCTATCCAAGAAATTTTTTTTAAGTTTCACTTCACGTTATTGATATTCCTGTAGAAAGTTGATTTGTGTTTTGTTCCTCAATCACAACCTTCCTCGTAGCTATATATATGTGTATATCCATTCCTATTTGTACAATTGCTCATTTGTTTGCAAAATAAACCACTTGTCTGGTAAAGTAAAGAATACATCACCCATTTGCACCTAAAAACTGTCACGTCTGCTCCCCAGTGACCGCTCTCTGATTTTCCTGCAATACCACAATATTTTTTTCCTGCCTTGGATTCTTAAGAGTGGAATAATCTACACCTCATCTGAGATCAGTTGTGTAAATTGTGCAGCCCAACATAAATGTCAACAGTCTGGAAAAAACAAAAATGGCTTGTGGTGTGAGCAGCAGAGCATCTACGAGATGTTCAATATCTAGTTGTCTGTGTGGTTTAATGGATTATGGTAATAGTTGCCTATTTTTCCAAAATACTGCACCTCTTGGAGGTAGGCCCACCTGATTTTCTCTATGCCCACCTACAATATAATTTCAAGCTACACTAAGTTAGAATTTACAAATGTTGCTTTTTGGCCCCTGGACGCAGGTGTACTCACAGAGCCATCTCTGCCTCCATCTCCTTCAGCCGCTCCTCTCCTGACTTGAGCGCCATGCTGTAAGACAAACAGACTGATCAAAGACCAGCCAAACATGTCTCAATCTAGCTAAGTGACTGAACAATGTGACAACTGAATACTTGGACACACCGGATAACGTTAAAATAACTTCACTGCAAAAGGGCCCACCTAAAAAAATATAAGCCTTTAAGTAACATTATATCTTTTCATTTCATTAAGTTATTTAGATGCAAGTAATATGCACAAAGTTTTCTAAAGCAATGTAAATCATAACATTTCTTAATCTAACGTTAACGTTTTGCATAATCACAATAAGAACGTTGTCAATTTAGCATTAGCTAGCACACCAGAAGCTAGCTGAGCTAGCCATTAACCTAGCTCGACTGTATCAACAAGCTAACCACTACCGTTACCGCTGTGAAATTCACCCCAGTACCAGTTAACTTAGTTCCCTACTACAAAAAACAGGTTTAAATTGTAAATAATTATTAAGTAGCTACTGTATGAACTGCGGATATAAGTTAACATTATTACTTTAGCGATGCGTTCTTCTTGAAGAATCCAAGTTGTAGTTGTAGTTTTTGTTTTCTTCTTCTTCTTCTTCTCCTCCTGCTGCTGCTTCTCCTTCTTCTCCTTTTGATTTGTTTGGCAACCAGCATTTAGGAGCATTAACGCCACCTACCGGACTGGAGTGTGGAACAAATGATTTGCAGACTAGCATACTGGAAATCAAATGAACAAACAAAACCAGTTAAAATAAATAAAATAAAAATTGAAAGTCCTATATCCTCTCCATTAATCCCATATCTTTCAGAAATTTAATGAGGTGTTTAGATATTCCCCATATTTTCTCCCCAAGGAGGTTCTTGACAGTGAACTACAACTGCTACTATTTTCTACTCGACTCCACATAGCCTCTACACTCAACCAGCACATGTTGAATTGTCTCTAAAATATTCCATTTTACACAGTGTCCAGTTGGGTGTTTATCTATTTTAAGTGAGTGGTTAAGCCCTCTGTGTCCTATCCTTAGACGGGTAACGACTGTCTCTGTCTTCCGGCACCCACCCAGTTTTCTTCCCAGATCAACATGACTCTGTATACCGTAAAGATGTCTTCCAGTTTCATTTAATTCCCAGTATTCCTGCCACATTTTTTGCATTTGCTCTTTAATGGCGACTTGCAATCAGATGGAGCATTATTGCCACCTACTGAATGCTAGTTAAATATGCCTTAAATTACTGTGCTGTGTCCAGTTTGTTGTAAATATGTGAGGATGCGTTTTAACACCATATTTCCAGAGTTATCTGCAAAAATAGTTTTAATGTCCCTTTGTTTAATTCCTTCACGTTCCAGTCCATCCCTTAAAGCCAGTCTTTTGTTTGGGTATTTAGTGCACACAACACCACATCGTTTCAGTTGACTGCATGCCTCACTAGTTCCAGTGGGATGTATTCCAATAAGGTGCAGTGATGCATTTAACTTTGTGTGACCCAGTCTAATTCTGCTAAATTGACGCCGTTCTCTCCTGCTCTTCCCCAATGACTTTTCCTCCCCCACGTTTAGCTGAATTTTGTATAAATGTCTTCCTTTATTATCATTTTCCCATAGCCACTGCATCTTCTTAATCTTAATTCTTAATTTTGTTCCGTACATATGCTTTGATCTCTACTTTGCTTACTGGTACTGCCACCTCTACCCAATTTACTTTCAACCCATTTTTAGCTAGTGTGTGCCATCCCGTTCCCTTGGATGCCAATGTGCTGGGACCCAAAACTGAATATCAATCCCCAGTCTACTTACCCTTTATAAATATAATAAAATCCTTTCTGCAATTTGATGTAGTATTCTTGAGACTAGCCAAAGCTGCACTTGAGTCTGAACATATTAGCATTGCCATTGACTTCCTCTAGCCACTGTAATGCCAAACGAGATTGCCATTATTGATTTTCCATTCTCTGGATTGTAAATAAATGGACATCTCTCATGCAGCATAGTGTTCACATAAGCTTGCATATCAAAACGTTCTTGAACTTGAACGAACCTGTTTCAGAAAAGAAAAATCAACTATAGGCTGAGGTAGTAACCATTGTGGAACAGCTGGCATTAAAACAGTTGGACTAGTGACCCAATCATTGACTCCTAATTCCTTTGTTATATCCAATATTGCATTGCAAAATACTTCCTTTTTCAATGCTTGGGCTTTGAACCTTTTTAAAGATGTTCTAGCAGCTGATCCAAAAATAATACATCCATATTCTAGAACTGATCTAACTAATGTAATATAAATATTCCTTATAGCAACTAAATAATGTTCAATACTTAACTAAAAGTTTTCACTCTGTCTAAGCTTTGATTGTACAATTTCAAACAAATATCTTATTTGATTTTCTTTCTTGTAAAAAAGATGGATTGAGATTTCTCGACAGATAACTTAAATCCCCACATCAAAGACCAATTTTCTTTCTGGACCTTCTTTACAACATTCCTCCCTTGTTTCCAAATTGCCCCATCATCAGCAAAAAGCGATTTCCCAATATCTGGGTTAACATTCTTTTAAACATCATTTATTATAATTCAAAACAATACCGACTAATGACACTTCCTTAAGGGTTTACATCATCAACTAAAAATGTATCTGACATAGAGTTCCCCACACTAACCTGAATGTACCTGCCAATTAAGAAATCTTTAATCCAGTTATACATTTTTACTACTGATACCCATTTTATCTAGCTTTATTAAATCATATCATATGTATATATATCTCTGTATCGAAGAAAACAGCTACTACCCCATCTTTATTTTATTTATTACTTGTGGACATTTTCACTTTTCACAGTGTCACTGTTGTTGCCAGCGGTTTAGACATTAATGGCTGTGTGATGTGTTATTTTGAGGGGACAGCAAATTTACACTGTTATACAAGCTGTACGCTCACTACTTTACAATGTAGCAAAGTGTCATTTGTACAGTGTTGTCACATGAAAAGATGGAATCAAATGTTTACAAAAATGTGAGGGGAGGACTCACTTTTGTGAGATACTGTATCTCTTAAATTCCATTTGTAATAAGGCTTCTGGTATTCCATTGAAAGATAAGGAAACCCATGATGAAATGACTCACTAAACTGGGATGTTCCATCATTAGTTTCTAACACTTCATGCAGAGCAACGACTTGGATCGTCACTGTTTAATCAGCCTAGGCTTTCTGAAAGCATATTTGATGCCCTGAGATGAGAACATGTTGTTATAGCCTACTGTTTACTGTGTCATGAGCAGCACAGGATCATTTCAAAGAAGCAAGTGAGGGAAACGTGGATGCATTTGAGAGAACTGAGAAGCACCCTTGGGGTACTAATCCCCATTGGCATTGCCAGGTAATTTTGCCACAGCCCCGGATGTAACTCAAAATAAGATCAAATATATTTTCCGTATGAATATGTAATAATCTTTATGACGGAGCCTGTCTTGCAGGTTTCAAAGAACGGAGGCTACTCGCAATAATATTGCTACATTTGTTTGAAGTTCATGTAACGTGACCCTCCCAATCATTACTCAGCATGCCTGCATTTAGAGTGAGAGCTGCTCACAGCTTCAGGGCTTGTCAGTAACTAGTGAATTGTCCCTAGCAAAATTGTAATCAAAACATTTAGGCATAAATGTTGTCGGTCAGTTTCTAGTTCAGTGTATTTGCTACACAAAGGGTTAACAGTCTGCCGGAAAGTAGTGAGAGAATAACAGGACACACCTGACTGTGACACAGACACCTGTCGCTCTCTCTGCTGTACCTGTCCCCTCGGTCTGAGACAGCTTTGCTTTGTTTGGACTGTCTCTCTGCTCCAACTTCCATCTGAAGCGGCCGTGAGCTGCACTTTATCATAGGTGCTGAAGTTAACATCTGTGTGGATTTGTGGTGAGATTTCTGCCAGATCGCAGGTGTTCCACCTCTGATGAAGATCAGTGCACTCATCTCATCCAGATGGGTCCCAGATGGGCTCTGTGTCTGTTAGACGAGACGGTCTAAAGGGGGTAGCACCCTACTACCATATCAGTAGAGCAATAAGGCAGGGTAATACACAGCAGAGGGGCAGGTAGATTTTGTCAAAATACTATGACTTCATTCTCATTAGATTGCAATTTTATTCTCATAATATTACACTTTTGTCTCAAAATATAATTCTGCAAATGTCACATGTAGAAACATATACAGTATGTGGGAGAGATTTAGAATATGCAGAAAGTTTGAAACATGAGCAGAAAACCTGCTGTTAAAGTCCAGGAGTTTCTAAATGAATTAAAATCAATTAATCTATCATTAAGGTGAACAGGTGCCACATGGACATTTAAAGGGGTTACTTCAGTCATGCCTGCATGTGTGTTGACTCAGCAGGGATGAAATTAAGTGGGAAAAGTTGATACAGGAGAAACATATCTGACAGCAATACAAAATGTTTGTCACCTGAATTTTCTGTTTCCTTTTATGTAAATAAAGACATTTCCTCAATAAATTGGCGCAGAAAAATCCACCATAAAGCAGCAAATGAAGAGTTGAGAACATGAAAACATGAAAGATTTCTGGGCTAGGCTAAGCCCCCCAGTGTTTCAAGAGCCTGGAAACGCCCCTGCTTTTCCCTAAAATCCCCTTCCAAGTTCCGGATTTGCCACAAATGAAAATCTCCAAATGACGTTTTCGAATGAACTTTAACCTAGATCCAATAGCAACGTCATGGCCCTCCATTGACCTATTGTGGTTTTAAGGGTTTAACTGGAGACTCACATTACGCCCCCTGGCGCACCTTGGTCTACAGGCTGCAGTTGCGAGTCACGTGACCAGCTGACGTACAATAACTGTAGGTCCACAGGTCACGCTCTGCCCAGGCTGCATAAACGTAGGCTGCGCTGCCACAAGTTGTTTCTGTCGCGTTTGCCGTGCAAGAAGCAGCATCATGCTCCGGACCGTGTTTTCTCACAGGGCCTTTCCTAGACTGGGCCGACTCTCAGGGTGCCATTACTCTGCAGCCACCATCCCAGCACCCAACCCCCAGCCCGAGATCCACTATAACAAGGTAACGTTATCACATGTGCTTACGTAATGTCCGATTATCCAACAAAAGTGTTATAGCGCTGCAAAACACAACGACCTGTTTCAACAATGGAAAGTAGCCTACCAGAGGTACAGGTCTGTCACTGCGCCACAGGTAATATACGACCACCCGTGCTGCTGCTAAGACCACAGTGAAAACGTGCAACGTAAGAGCTGAGGTCCAGAATCCAGACGCACCAACTTTGTTTCGCCACTTCCTGATAATGTTACGGAGTGCTGCTGCATGGTTTGTTAAAAAGCACTGAGGAGACAAGAAAGTCAGGAAGGACTCCGTTTGTAAGCAGTCCAGACACCTATTGCGAAATCCTAAGAGGACGAGAAGTTTACACTGTGAGGTTTAATGTTAATTATTACCAGTGCGTTCATGTCATTTTAATAATATAACGTGATGGATTGGCCATTTCAGTGTTTACAGACTGTGCTCTGCTGCGTCAGCAAACCTATCCTTAAATATTATAGATCAAGACGCCCCCGAAGTTAGCTTCCACTTCGCAGCTGCCGATTTTTTTTTTTTTTTTAAACCTTTATTTAATAATCAGAATCAAGCCATTACAAATTTATATTGGGAACAAGTACACACAGTATCAATCCCACTTAAGCGAATACAAATAATAAATAAATAACACACACAGAGTCGGTAATCAGTATGTGTATGATTTTGAGAACATTCAAGGCTTGTTTTGTTTTTATACATTTCAAAACTTTCTTATACAGAATTAACTCCTTCATAAAAACCAAAACCGGAGGTCTTGATCTACACTTGTGGATAAATTGTTTAGCCATACTAATTAAGTTATTATACATCAAGTTTCAAATTTTTATCCTCCAAATTAAATATAGCAGTACTCTAACGTTGTTACTTGAGTCTTTTTCTGATATCTACTTTTGAACTGAAACCCAAAATATAATTACAAGCAAAAAAAACCAAATGCTTCAAAGTTTCCATATCCGCATCACAAAAAGTACAATTATTCTTATCAATGTTAAATCTTTGTTTCAGAAACACATTACAAGGATGAATATAATTCTTTAGCTTTTGGTGAGATAGGAAGAATGAGGTATCTTGTTCTTAATGTCCTTATAATTTCTTTAGGATATTTTTTTCTTTTTAATTGTTAAGGGGAAAGGTTCAGAGGACGCCCCTTAAAATGTTGTTTGCATATATTCTCTTCTTAAATTCCAGTTCAACTACCTACAAATACCTCATAAGGCAACATGCCTCTAACCAAGTTCACCATTGCCTGTGGGGTTGTCTTAATTACCAGAGAGAATTGTTTCTTTCTACACTTCACATTAAATGTTTTAATGAATACATTGTACTACAAAAAATTCCTCCTTGAATCCATCAAATGTAAAATAGACCAGACACCTCTCTCTACCCAATCACAATGACATAAAGATTTTCCTTTAACCAAGATACACCCATTATTCCACATGGGACTACTATGTGGAATAAAGTTGTGTTTATAAATCATTTTCCAATAAAGGAGGACTTCGTTGAAGGTCACTTCCTGTTGCCAGCAGGTGGTGCTATGATGGTGGGGGAACATTAGCATGTAGATGTGTTCAGGGTGGGATTCTGATCAAACATGTAAAGTTTGGTACAGATTTGATCATGTACAGTCAAGTTACAACAAGCCGTTACACAAAAACACACAAGTTTTGAGGTGGATGTGACCAACCTGCTAGGAGTAGTACATACAGTATTTCACAAAAGTGAGTACACCCCTCACATTTTTGTAAATATTTGATTCTATCTTTTCATGTGACAACACTAAAGAAATGACACTTTGCTACAATGTAAAGTAGTGAGTGTACAGCTTGTATAACAGTGTAAATTTGACAAAAGTGAGTACACCCCTAAGTATTTTAGAAGTTTTGTTTTATTGACACATACCTAATTCCATACATTTTTATTTTCCAGCTGTTTGTCAACAACCAGTGGCAGGATGCAGTGAGTGGAAAAACTTTCCCTACGATCAATCCAGCAACCGGTGAAGTCATCTGTCAAGTTGCTGAGGCTGATGAGGTAAACAAACTCTCCGATACATATAGAATTTCATTCACAATCAATATCTTCCAGTGAAGGTGCGGGGCATTTGGGGGTAACATTTACTGGAATTGGAAAGTAACATTAAGTTGAGATGGAACTGGATAGGTCCAGTTGAAATTCCACATGAAAAGCTGCAAGTAGATTGGACAATATACACTGAAGTTACAACAACTTCCTGGTTCATGGCGAATAATGTATTGTCTTAAGACTTTTCTCCCCAAATTCGAGGTGGATCTGGTTAACGCCGCTAGGAGGAGTATATCAAAGTATAAAAGGTGTATTATTATTATCATTATTATTATTATTATTATTGTACCGCATCTTTCATACATAAAATGAAGCTCAAGCAAAAAATAAGTAAATAAATAAATAAATAATACAATACAGCAACATGTACATAAGCCACAAGCACAAAACACAAGTATTAAAACTGAAAGGGTAGCAGAGAGGACTATAATATGAAATGAATACATAAATAAAAATGTGTGGAATCAAGCTTCTCTTGTTTGTATTGGGAGTTTGTTCCAAGCCACTGGTGCATAATAACAGAATGCACCAGAGATTTTTTACTGTTCATTCTTGGAACATTAAGCAGACAAGCATCAGAGGACCTGAGAGAGCGAGTTGGAATATAATCAGATAAAAGGTCAGATAGATGATAAAGTGCTAAACCATGAAAACTAAATCAAATAAAATAGCTTTAAAATCAATTCTAAATGCTGCAGGAGTGCCAGTGGAGAGCAGCTAAAACTGGAGTGATGTGTTCTCTCATTCTGGTTGAAACTCTTGCTGCTGCATTTGAATTAGTGCATTAAAAACAAAAGCATGTAACAACTTTTTGGCATCTTCCAAGGCAAGGTAGGCTGTAACTAATAAAAAAAAAAAAAAAGGATCACTGTTGAATTTTAAATCACATTTTAACTCAGAGTCAATAAGAACACCCAGGTTTTTGAGAACACTCTTTTCCCGTACAGACTTGGTCTTGTCCTCCATTTAGTTTTAGAAAGTTTTGGCTTAGTTGTGCCAGTTTCGTGCATGACATGACATGATGTGATATTTACACGTGCAGAGACGATTTTATTATTTGAAAGGGGAGGGAGTGTCAGTGGGGGGCCCGGGCCTTTTTGATGAGTCTAGCTGCAGACGAGTAGAAGCTGTTTTTGTGGCGAGAGGTTTTTCGTCCTGATGGACCGCAGCCTCTTGCAAGAGGGGAGAGTCTGAAACCGTTTGTGGCTGGGGTGGGAGGAGTCAGCTGCAATCTTTCTGATTGCCTGAAGTGATGAAAGATTGCAGCCAATCACCTTCTCTGCAGATTCGATGCCTCTAGGGCTGGGGTGAGACGTCGATTACTTAAATACGTCGACTCGCAATACATGCGTCGAAGCGTCGCTGCATCTGGTGTTAGTGGGATTCCCGCGGAAACCTCCAGCTACAAGACCGTGCCTTCGACCGTCTAAAGTTTGGGAGTATTTCAGACAGACACTCAACAACGTGGTGCTCTGTGAACTGGAAATAGCTTCACTGCAGCACAACTGCTGTCCACGAATACGTGAAGCAGCATGAACACAAGCACAGGACATTATCAGCACGAGTACACGTAGTCCGTTAAAATGTATTTTCTGCCCAGCTGCTGTCATGGTAATGTCACGTTACACCGTCATCTAATGTTCGGCCGTTTCATATTTTCTGTTTATTTAACAGCCACGTATGAGTGAGAAAACAGCTGAATCTAACATTACAGACAAGCTGTGACTGTCTGCACAGTCTGTGAATCGTCTCAGTTGTTTTCCTTGCCCCACACTGATGCCGAAATACATTTGATTATCATACTGCATTACTCAATATTGAAATAAATCCATGTCACAAACATATACAATTCCTGTGCAATAACCCAGTAATTCTCTCTAATCAGCCACTTGTTTACTGGTTACCACTTATTATTTATTAACCATTCTCTATTTCAGAGCTGTTCATACTGTTATATTGTCATATTGTATATACTGTATACCAATCCACCTACCTCAAGTCATAACCCCTGCACAAAATACTTACTTATACTTATTTATTCCAGCATCCTTTGCACTATACTTCATCGCACTGTGTACATGAGTACATGTATGCATGTATGTGAATAGAGTGAAGAGAAACTGCACCTCTGCAGCTTCTAAAAATTAAAGTGGAGCTACCATGTGTTTGACTATCAATCAACTATAGGTAAGACTTGACAATTCTGTCAGGGTTTATAATAAAGCTGTGTGTCGTCTGCATAAAAGTGGAAATCCTTGTAGATTTTCAATCAGAGCTCACATTGAGGATATTGACTGTATTTAAGGGGCAGGTAGATGATTTCATCTGCATGATGGATTTTATGGAGCTCTGCTCCACTGATTCTGCAAGAATCAAAGTTAACCCGAGAGGTGTTGAGGGTTTGGCTACTTGAGGTAATAGTATTATTAATAATTCCAGTTTGGATGTTGATTATTATTAAAAAATTATGCAAACTCATCACATTTTAACTAACATTGGACATAGCTGGGCAAGAGACTGGGGGGATTTATGCGACGATTAGCTTGAACTTTTGGGTTGTTCCTGTTTTTGTTGATGAGGCCAGACAAATAGGCTTGTCTTGCACAACGCAGGGGCTGTTGCATGTTAATCGGAAGGTCGGCGGTTCAATCCCCGACTCCTCCAGGCTGCATGTCGAAGTGTCCTTGGGCAAGATACTGAACCCCGAAGTGCCCCTGGTGGCTGTTCCAGCAGTGAATGAATGTGTGTGAATGATAGTTTCTGTTTGAGCACTTAGGCTCAGTGTATAAATGTGAGTAAATGCACATGTAGTGTAAAAGCGCTTTGAGTGGTCGAAAAGACTAGAAAGGCGCTATACAAATACGGAGCATTTACATTTACGGAGCTTTGTTATAAACAGCTACAGAGCTTTTGAAGCGTCTCCATGGACTGTGAGACTGCTCTTTCTCCCCACTACCTCTGCTCTATGGCACTCCCTCTTCAGCATTGTGTATGTTCATTCTTCCAAGGAATAACAATGGACTAGCATTTCTTCTTGGTTTTCAGAGGGGCAGCAATTTTGAGGGCCGAGTGTAGTTTGAGATTGAAATGCTTCACTTTATCATGCACTGAGCTAACAGCAGAGAAGGGTAGGGAGTGCAGGTGTTTTGCACATTCAAAGGCTGATAAAGATGCATCTTTTAATAATCATGTTATTCTCTGATTTTAGCAGGGTAAGAAACAGTCATGTTAAACAAACAGTAGTGATCTGATAAACCAGTATCAACAATTCTATCAATGGTATTGTTCAGACATTACCAAATCTAGGGTGTGGCCACATTTGTGTGTTGGCTCAACGACATGCTGAATAAAATCAAAGGAGAGTAAAAGCTGTAAAAGGTCCTTAGCCTCGCTACCAGAGACATTGTCAACATGCAAATTTAGGTCCCCAGAGATGAGAATTCTATCATAATTAATAAAACATATAGACATTAGTTCTGATAGTGATTAGTAAGATGGAAGAATCGTTATTGAGTAAGATTGCCTGATATTCAAAAGATGAGAAACTGCCAAGTTTTACAAATGCTTACATTTGAAGGTATCTGGAAAAAACTGCTGCCAGCCCTCCTCCCTTCTTCCCATCACTTATGGTATGAATAAAGTTGTAATTAGGAGGAGATGCCTTGGATAAACGGGAAGCGCCATCGGGGCCAAGCCAGGTTTCTGTTAAGAAAATAAAGTTTTCCTCACAAATAAGGTCATTAATAGAGAAAGTCTTATTAGTAAGTGCCCTGATGTTTAACAGAGCCATCCTTTTTTTTTCTTTTTCTTCATGGCCAAGCTCATCAATATGGTGTTGGCATTTAAGAGGGACAGGAACCAGGTGAGACTTTCTCTGACAAACATTATTTGCCCTGCACTCCCTACTGGAGATAATAGCCTGAATATTGCGAACATCATGGTGATTAGAACTACAACAGTTTGTCGGGGTGAGAGACAAGAGCGGCCGGTAGGGGGAGCTAGCGTTGGGAAGCGGGGCTTAATTGTGCAGCTGTCGAGTGAGTGAGAATGACCATCCATGGAGATGGTGTGTGTGGAATAAACAGTCAGTCACGTGGAGCGCACTATGCAGTGTGCTGAATGTTAACAGCCAACATGTGGCTGCCTACTCTGTTTGGATGAACTCCGTCAGATCTAAAGAGGGATGAGCGGTTCCAGAACAAATTAAAATTGTCTATGAAACCAAGGCAATAAGTTTTACAGGCAGACTACAGCCAGCCGTGGAGGTAAAGGAGTCAAGTGTGGGGATAGGGCCTGAGATAAAATGATTAACAAAACATTCCATTCTGGAACACTGGACCTATTGAATCCAATTGATATCTCGCCCTAAACCATGAATATAATTGGGAGATAGCTCTTCACTGAGACAAAGCAGATGCAGATCTAATCCAAGACCAAATCCAGACTCTGTGACCACGGTCTAGGAATAGAGAGAGGACAACACAAGAAGTCCTGGCTGCAAACGGGTGAAAGAGTCTGTGGTGTATTTGCTTTAATAGTACAATTTTGAATATTCAATGGAGTTGCAGCGATATTTATCATACCATAAACATTTGCTAATTACTGGTTTTGTAAAAAAAAAAACGCACATGCTCTTCTTGGATACTGAGAAGTGACTCAACTGATCTCCATCCCCGCTAAAAGAAAGTAAAATCCGTAGCTTGGATTACTTTGGGTATCCAAAAAATTAACCTTCCTTGAATGCCAACAGCTGTATCATGAGGTCTACACATTATGAAACAATTAAATATCCCCCAGCTATCACCAGCAAAACTGCAAAAGGAAAACAAACAGTATTTTGAGACAGACCAGAAATCCTATTCCTTGACCACTCCAAAGATGGAAGGTCTTGATTATTTGGTTTCAAAACCAAATCGGAAAAAACAAAAAAACACTGTACAACATCTTTG